TAAAGCTAGTAAATTTACCTCACCTGTAATTGTTTTAATTTAAATCTGGAATTTGAATTCACCAATTTAAATACACTCCTGTCCAATCAAGTTTCAAGTCTTGTCAGCAAAATTTCAAGATTGAAGTTGAAACTAAAATAATGGTACACATTTTAATTCATAGTGTAAAATTTCAGGAACTTAGAGACGATATTCAGACATTTAAATTCAAATAAATGTAAAAGGGGGAAAAGGAATTTTAAAACGTGCTTTTATTTTGTAAAAGCATACCGGAAGTGTAACCCGATCTCTCTGGTTAACTTGACATGGCGTCGCTCGCCTCGGGCAGAGAAAGCCACGGCTGTTGCTCGCTGTGTTTTAGTTGGGGAYAGGGCTGTGTTCACTCGCTGTTCGTGGGCTTTTCAGAACTTCTCGTCCAGTAAAACCGTCAGCACAACTAAAACTTCGCCACTCGCTCGGTAACTCGGGACGATGAACGGTAAATCGGCGAACGGCACGGCGGGAGGAATGGCCTGCATCGAGGGTCTGCCGCCGCTGCCGAAGAGCCTGAGCGGGCTGCTGAACTCGAGCGGCGGCTCGTGGAGAGAAATGGAGCGGATGTACGTGAAGAAAACCATGATCCAGGACGACCTGAGCCGAGGCAGGAACAGCGACAACCTCCTGGCCAACAAGCCGGCCAACCTGGACGCTGCCCTGGCTCTCCTCCGGAAAGAGATGGTAAATACTCCAGGAACATGTTTACTGTTGTTTTTCCTCTCTGAGCCGCTCAGCGCCGTGACCGACTACAACCAAACTCCTATAGAAATTAGTGAGAAATAAAGTAATTTAGCAAAATAAAAATTTCTAAGGTATTTATTTAATGCCTCTTTGTATTATTTACAGAATGTGCGTCTCTTGGGTAAATTCGGCAGACATATCATAGCCACTGACTTTATCATTATAAATAAATAATAACTCACAGAAATGTCTCTTGCTTTTCGCTGCAGACTAAATAAAGCAAAACAAGGGTTCATTTTCTTCAGGGTAATTGTTCAGTTTATGAAAATATATTTGCAATGAGCATCACTTGTGATGAAAAAGGTTTAAGACAAATGCAGCTGTATTGGATGCTATGACTTTTGGTAACATTATGTCACAATGTAGATGAAGTTCACAAATAAATAAATAAATAACTGTTAAAGTTTTCCCTCATAAGATGTGTTTCCATTCACCATGAAAACGCACAAAATTAGAATTTCGAAAATAAATTTGCTCAATGGAAACACGTCATTTTCAAAAGAAATTACGTTTTTCGACAATGTTTTTGCACTAGGATGAGGTGGTTTTTTGGCCGTATCTAAATTGGTGTTTTTCACAAAACTGCAATGGAAACAGTTTTTTCACATCACAGGAGTCACGTGATCAACAACCGTCTGTTTCTACTGGTGAAAAAGACGATGATGAAGAAGATAACAGGAAGTAGAAGTAGTAGTAATATCACAGAAGTAGTATAAACATCCATCGCTGCCATGTTTGTAATGAC